AAAAAAAAAAAAAAAAAAAAAAAAAACAAACCACACACACACACAACATGCTATGCTACAGCAGTAAACAGACTGGAAAGAAAAAGTAACTGTTAAACTTGAGTCTAACATTTCAAGCTGCCTTTTTGATAAAATATTAAAAAAAATAGAGGTAGATGGTTAATATTAGTGGCCAAACTATTCTAGCAAGAGCCTTCGATGCACTGTCAAGTTTTTACACTTGAAGCCACCTGAAGGGGCTTCATGAATAGAGGAATTCTTTCAAAAAAGCCAGCCAGAAATCCCGTTGTACTGATAAAAAATAGTTTCAAACTGCATGTATTTAGTGTAGAGAGTGGAAGAAGAATCAGCTGTCACTGTACCACCATAGGGACACCATTGCTCAAGCACTGCAGCTCATGCACTTATTTTAGGAGAATGCCAAAACTTACTTATTTGTTTCCTAAGCACATTTCTCAAATTTTGCAGCTGTTTATTTGGCTAATGACTAGTCAAAATAAGATTGCAGGGTGCCACGGCGGCGGATGTCACATGTCCAGCAATGAAAGCCACCTCCCAAGGAATTGGCATGACGAATATTCACTTTAACTGTAGAAATGCCTGCAAGACACAGAAGGCAGAGTCTGTTCAACTAATTCACAGGTTAGGCACTAGGCAGAACACTAAACAAAGTTCAGTGCTCATGACATGATGTGTCCCTCTCGTATTTATTGGTTAATAATCTCTCTGAGCAGTACTAACTTAAGTTCTAGGCAAAGAACAGGGAGATGCGAATACAGCTTACTTGGCTATTCCAGCCATACCTGCAGCAATACATGGTGCCAGGAGAGGAGCCTACATTTGACATGTTAGGGTATGCTAGTCAAAAACCAAAAAAAAACCCAAACAAACCCAAAACCAAAATCTGTCTTTGCTGTACATACATGAAGAATCAGAGAAGTGTTTTAGCTCTTAGGGTTGAGTTGGAAACCTAAGAATCCAGAGTTCAGATACGAAGTACATTGTTTTAATAGAGTCACTTTCTAGAAATAACATTTAAAAACAAAAAACAAAAAAAGTGCTTGGGGCTTATAGTTCCTTTTTGCAGTGCAAGAGGAATACAGATCGCCCACAAACAAGCTAAGCTGCTTCTCCCTTCATTTCACCACTGACATTTGAGCTATGGCTCAGCTCCCACACAACACCAGTGGACTGACTGAGGTCACAGCACCGAGAACTTCTGAAGCAAGTCCTTCTCATTTCTAGGGGTTTACAGCACTGAACGACCAGTTGCTCAGCTGTTCAGTAGAGCCGTTTGGGTTCCTCTTACACATGGATTTTGGGAATTTCATTTGCCTTCTGGTTTCTGAGCCATTAAGGCTCATGTCAGACTTCCCTGAAACTGAGTACTAAACAATTTGCAATTAAGAAACCAATATAGTCACATAATTCCAGTGCCTGGGGTTTCATATTGTGAGAGTTGTAATTAACTCATGAGAGTTGGCAATACTCCACATCAGCCTACATAGTTTTGGGGTGGACTGAGCCCATAGACTGAGCAGGTACAAATGGATTCCTGTTTATGGTGTCAAAGCACTCACGCATGCACACATGCGCAGTCTAGCTATGTGTGAAGTCTTGCTAATACTGCCAAGTAGCATGGCGTTCACACTTCCTGCAACCTTCATGGACAAAGATTTATCGGAAATATTATAGAACGGCACTGAGTACTATGTGCAGTTCTGGTCTCCACATCTCAAAAAGGATGCAGTGGAATTAGAAAAAATACAGGGCAGGGCAACAAGGTGATCAGTGATACATAGAGCAGCTGTTGTACCACAAGAGACTGAAAGAACTATTATCCTTTCCATTATCCTTATTTATAGCAAAAAACAGAGCCCTGCTAGCAATATCTGTTTTTAAGATAATACTTAGCCCTTATGCCTCAGAACAGAAAAGGAGAAATTTCAGCACAGAGAGCAAGTGATTTGCCCACTGCCAGATACCCCAGATCCTATCCCCAGTCTGCTCCCTCCAACTGAATGCTATTCATGTGATCATTGCTAGTATTATTATAACTTCAGTGTGGTCAAAATCCAAGTGATTGATCAAATCCTAGCTTGATTTCCCGGCCTGTTTAAACAGCAAGTCCTACTGAGAGATGGACACATTACAGCTTAAGCCACAGTGAAGAAACTGATTATGCTACTCATTAGTGGCAAGATTTCTCCTTACAAGTTTAGACAACTCCTGAACCTCCAGGGTTATATATAAATAACACTTTGGTTTCTACGGTCTTTATTTATAGCATGACAAGTTTAAATAGACTGAATCCGTCTCTTCTCTGGCAGCACTATTACAGGTTCTCCCTATCCTCTGTTCAGTCTGTTGCATACTATCATTTTATGGGCAATTAGTTCATGTTCTCAAACAACTCCATCCCTAACTGCTTGGGAAAAAAGAAAAAACTGAGCCCTGCCACAGAGCCATTTCCAGAAGCTGCCACTCCTAGGGGAGCTATGAATCAGCTGAAATCCCTTCATTAAATATCCCAAGTTTGACCATTCATAGCACAAAAAAAAAAGTTTAAAATCTGGGGCTGTAAGAATTTTTGTGCAGTTCAGCTATGAAGGATAAGCAAGGCTGTGCACAGGCAGTCCTGCCCATCACATGCTTATGTTTTTTCCAAGAAGAAAAATTGCATTGCAAAATTGGAGAAACTAACTTCTACATTTAAAACGGAACAAAATTCATTCAGGAAGGATTCTTTGACTTGAAAAAAGTCAGTGAACTCATTCATATGATTCTCACCCAGGAATTCAATGGGTAAAACAATTCTTCCATTTGTATAGTACTAGCCACTCTACCTATTAAGAGTGCAGCCATAAGAACAGGTGACCTCTTAGAGAATTTTACTTTGGCCTGTACCTACGCAATGAACTAGCACTCACCTAGATTTTCAAACATCTTCTGAATGGAAGTCTCATTGGCATCCACCATCACACGTTTTTCATCCAGCATTAAGACATTCATGGAGAGCCATTTAGAAGACATCCACAGTGGGTGTCCTAAATGCATTAAAATGAATGGCTTAGTCCTGCAGTCATGCATTCAGTTTCATTCTTGCCCTATGCACCCCAAGCTGCTGGTCTTACAAATGCAGAGCAAATGCAACATACCATCTGGGATGAGTGGAAGTGGAGGCTGAACCACTGTCCAGCCTGCCTTTTTGAAGAGTTCAATCTGAAAGAGATTTAATCTAATTAGGTTTCCAACAGGATTTAAAATGTCTTCCCATCACTTTCCCCTCCAGCCTTTGCATTTTTCCATGCTGCCTCTTATGCATGGCATACCTTCACCTCATTCAAGTTCTTCCTGCAAAATCAATTTTTCATGTAAGCACATTTACAAAACATATCCATGGGTTCATCACTTTGTATTAGAATTCAGTTCCATGGCTTTTGTATTCAAATCTAACATAGAAAGAAAGAGGTATGCAAAAAACAAACAAACAAACAAACAAAAAAAAACTTTGGATCCTATTGGTCAAGAACAAATACATAAATAAGTGAATGGTATTTTTATATTTGCATCATTATTTCTAATGTATTATTTATTGATGCACAGAGCACCAATTGTATCACTTAGACTTCTGTTAAGCCAATGAAACTGTAACTGTGCTTGCCAAGAATCACCATATAGTCTTCTACTATTGCATCATGCTCTGCAGGAAACATTAGAAGGCAAATAAACTGGCTGCTGGTGTAGTTATTTTAACAAATAGCATAAGCCCATGGTCATCCTAGGAGTTTATTTTTACTAGGAAATATTTACTATAACTATAAAAGTATGTCTGCAAAGCAAAGGGGGCAATCTGGATAAACAGAATAGTACTGGGGTCTTCAATCTCATAGGGAACTGTGCACACTCGAGTGCTCATAGCATTGCTTTATTAAAAGTCCACCACAAGGGGGAGCTCTTCTCTAGACCTGGTCACCAAATTGCAGGTTGATAATTTTAAGAGCCACCCCATACAAATGGCTTACTTACTACCTTCAGGGTCTGTAAGCAAAGACATCTTACAAATAAACAAGAGAATACAGAAGGGTCGTAGTCCTCTTCTTGCACCATTTACAACAATGAGCTTTTCCCCACCCAGTAGTGATGTGGCAGGTTTTACCCATTACAGAATATCCTCTCTCCTCTGAAGTGCCCTTCCCAGAGTTACTTAACAGCCAAATGAGCTGGCAACTACTGGACTCTTTCCTTTGGTATAATTAATAGTGAAGCTGAAAAACAGGGTGGGCTTCTAGAAATAAAGAAAAGCTACTCCTTTGAACAGCAGAGATACTGTAGCCTCTATCTGAACCCAGGTAGAAGTAGTACAATATTATGTGAAATGCTCTGCAAGTAGGATCTATTTTATCCATTTGCTTTGAGATTCATAGGCAACTTTCATAAACACACAAGCTATGGACAACAGAAGTGGCATGGTAACCACATTCCATATCTTCTTGCTACGTAGGGGGCAAGCAGCAGCGAATGGGAGTAAAGAGCTGAGCTGGTCTTTTTTGTGGCTTGCTCCGAGGTGGAGTCCTGGTGCCAGAGCCTACTGAAATTCAGATGTACAGTTCAATAACCATTACATAAAGCCTTGAGCTCAGTGCCAAGGACCAGTGGAAGCTAGAGTCCAGGGACTTACATAACTGAAAAAATAACCCGTTGCACCAGCTACTGTATTTCGCTCAGTTGGTAACAACATAATGCTAACACCACCAAGGTTACAAGTTTGATCTGATTGGACCAGATGATCTCACGAGGTCCCTTCTAACCTTACGATTGTTTTTCTAACCAATTCCAAGTTCTGAGTCAGCAATTATTCTGCTGTCATGTAACTTTGCTTCTTTTCCCTCGTCAGTCTTACCTGTTGGCATGGACGATCTGGGTTGGACAGCACAAGGCCAGGTCCAATGATATTAAATGTGGCATCAATGTGCATAGGATTAGGATCTTTAAAAGAGATGATGTGTACTCTATATTCAGGTGCCAGATGTCTCCGCATCCACTCAATGCCCATGTAGTTAGTAACCTGAAAAAATGGTGACAAATTGTGGATTTGCATTTTATATTTATAAGCTAAATTTTTTTAAGAACTTTGATCTTGGTTTCCTCGTTTAAAAAGAAGTATGCACTATCATTTACAAAATCTGCCTGACCCATGTCAGACAGACACCAGACCACTGTCTGATGTCTATGGAAAAATCTAGTTTCCCTACATAGAACCACAGGGTTAGAAAGAATCTCAAGCCAAAGCCCTGCAGAGATACAGGCTTCGTTATTCCTCAGTCAGACCCCTATCCTTCCTCTTCTTAGAAACTTCTCAAAAACTCGGAAAGTTGCGTTGAGACCCCACACCTTTCCTGGGCCGTTTGTTTTTACTCTCTTCTGTTCTCATGGTCAGGACACTCTCCTGAGGTTTAATACAAGTATCTTTCCTGTGGTTTAAGTCCGTTACCTCTTGTTCTGCCTTCTGTGCCGAGGAAGGACAGCACTCCTTTGTCTTCTTCATGGCAGCCCTTCCAAAACTTGACAACCAGTATCACACTCTCCACCCCTTTAACCTCTTTCTGTTCAAACTAAAATGTACTGAGTTCCTTCAGGTTTTCCTCATGTCTTTCATTCCAACCCCTTCATCTTTGTCACCCACCTCTGCATCTTCTCCACATTTTTTCTGCATCCTTCCTGGAAATGCAGTGCTCAAAACTGGATAGTATGATCATCTGCCTGCTTTGCATAATGCTCCTTTTAATGCAACCCAAATTGCATTTCTTTTTTTTGTGACAGCGTCACATTGCAGATTCATAATGAGTTTGTGAACACAGTAATCCTTTTTGGCAATGCTACTGCCAGCCCAGTTATCCCCATTCTGTATGTGCACATCTGCTTTTGTTTCCTTATATGTAGTACCTTGGATTTGCCATTGCTGAACTCCCTTTATTGCCCAAGGCCTGTTCTCCTATTCAGCAAGATTCCTTTGCACTTTAATCCAGAGTGTTCACAGCCCCACTCTACTTGTGGCATCTGCAAATCTATACTCCTGCAACCCCATCATTAATAAAAGTGTTAAAGAATACTGGATCTGAAACAGAATCTTCTGGAAAAAAAACACCCCCTGCCATCACTCCATTCATAATCCACAATTTGTTTTACCATTAAATGAGAAAAAATAAAAATAAAAATCAGCATTTGAAAGATATTACAAAACTGCAGGAAACAGCCCTTGCCTACCTGGCTTCTTTGTACAAAAAGATCTCTTCCAGCTCTAATAAAGTCAGCAGCATCAAAGCATGGCTCATATTCAGTGGTCACAAATTTTCCCTGAGCAGCCAGCTTATGTCTATCTTCAACAGAGCGGATGGGATAATCCTAGTTGTGAGAAAGAGACAAGACCATTCAAAGGCAAACTTAGTCTGAGCTGTCAGTGGAAAAAGGTTACTATAACTGCTATAGTCATTTTAAGGTTATAAATATACTGGCATCTGGTATAATCCTCAATGTTCTTTTTCTTCTTTCTCCTCTTCCATTATGTGTAAAAACCAAGGAGAAAAAAAGCATCCATGAAGCTCAGTGATGCATGGACTCAATTAGCTGAAGCAACTAGCAGTTTGCCAAGTGAATTCAGAAACAAGTGTGTTTAAAGAGATGGCTGTTACATAAGAAAATTGATTTTCCTAGACTGTGGTCACCTCTAGAACACTGTACCTTCTGCACTGGAAGTAAACTTTACTAACCAAGATATTTCACGTATCAAACTTTAACGCAAAGCTGTTGTCAGACTAACATTGTATATATCCTGTGGTTTGGGAAAAAGCATGTGAGTTTGCATATCCAATGAGACTGCACTTAGTGCTTTTAATCACGTTTTAGAATAGCATGAGGAAGAGTCACATTCTCCCCAAATAGCTCCCTGGGTAAGATCTTCCAGATCTTTAAACATACTTTAGCATGGAAGTATTCTAGCACAAACAAATGATGCGAAACAATCCCTTATTGATAAGAAAGGGCCTCTGCTGTGAGAAAGGATGATGCAAAGAATATAAGCAGCCAAACCAGCGCATACATTTTGTATCCTAGGCTAGGGGCCTTCCCTCAAGTACTGAGAAAGTTCTGCCATTGTCCTGGAAGAAAATTAGCAAAAACATATATCCCACAACCAGTTCTAACCATCACAATGAGGTATATGATGACTGATAGTCTCCAAGCCTCGAAGAAATTAGGATTTGATAGGTAGCTATCAATATCTCAAGCCAGTAAGTGAAGTCAAGGCATAAGCTTTGGGTAAGGTCTAAAATAAAGTAACTGCAGAACTTTGAATGTTAATAGGGGGTTCCTACATTACCTGGAAAGTCTGCTTCTAAGGGTTTTTTTGAGTTATTAATCCTCACAATATCTCTACAAGATAAACATTATACAAATTTTTCTCTTCCTTACAGGTGAGAACAGAATTTATTGGCCTCCATTTTCTGAAGAATACAGCAAGAGAGTCAGTGTCAGGCTTGGAAAGTGGTTCCCTTCTCAGAGTAGTACAAGCACATTTAAGACAGGCCTGACAACATCCCCTTTAACTTTTTCTCCCTCAGTATTGTTTTGAGTTACCATATTAGATAACTCAGATCTGCTCTTAACTTTACAATAAACTTACCAGCATAAAGCTTAATTAATTACATGTTAAAGCATTAAGACAGGTAACACTAAGTCATTCTACAAAAGCTTTATAAGACCTATTTCCTTTAAGAAGTCCCAGCCAATTTATTCAGCAAAGAATATTTGGAGGGACACTCATCAATAAATTTTAAATCTTTCACAGGTTTCTTTTGCACATATCTCTCCCTTTGGCTACAACCAATTTCTAGTCAGTTTTACATTCTGGTTTTCAATAATTAACAATGCATTCTACAAAAAATGGATCTGGTACCACCACTACTAAAAGTGTTTTCATACGTTTTGTAAAGCTTCACAGAATGTAAAGCACAGTCCAAAGCCACCCAACAACAAGTGCCATAAAATGTGTCACCTGGGGTGGGGACAAATGAAGGAAAGAAAATAATACCTGGTCATAGAGTTTATCTGCCATTGTGGGCTTGGGTGCAGTTGTCCACTTGGCCCCACAGTTGAAGTACTCCTTGATGATTGGCCGGTATGCTCTATATTCAAAGAAACGAGCTCGCCAGGCCATTGGAGCCTCAATAATTTCATTTCCAACTACCAACAGGATGTCTCTTGGCATAGCAGCATACATACCTAAAAGGGAAAAAAAAGACAGCCACCAGGCTATATGGACAGGAATTACATATCTTGAAATAATTAACAGCTAGACTATCTGCAAGACACTTTACTGAACTTAGCAATTATGAACATTGTTTAAAAACCTCAATTCAAAGCTTATGCATAACTGATTTAGTCCATCTATAAGGTGCATCTCTACCCTGCCTCCTGCTTGTCTTCAGACTAACGTGGCTAAATACCTTTCTCTGCTCAGGATGACCAGGAAATAAGTGGTAAGAACCTCAGTTACAAGATGTCATTTACCTGTAGACTCAAAGTCAGGTGTTTTATATTTGACTGACCAGTCAATTGGCTCAGGCCTCTTCACAATGACTCCTTCCATTTTCAGAATATTGCACATTTCTTCAATTTCAGCAACAGCTTTTTTTAAGTGATCTTTGGGGAAGCTCTGGCCTCCAAACTGCTGGTAGAATCCCCAATACTTTTCATACGTGTTGGCCTGAAGAGAAAAAAGGACAGATAGCTCAAATAACCACTCTACTTGATAATGTTGGAGGGATGTTGTAGCTGTATTGGTCCAAGAAACATGCAAGTTGGTCCAATAAAAGATAAATCAACCACAATAATTTTTCTTCTATTTGGGAATATTTCAGACGATGGAGCTGATTTTATTAAAGCAGCTATTACTCTTCTAGTCACAGGTTTCTGTATGTCTTCCACTGTTTCACCTACATGTCTGATGTCCTAGTACTGTTTCCCTGAATGCCTTGCAGATGTTCCTTCAGAGGTGACACTGTCAATGGTGTGGGAATCCTTCTACCACCCAGAGACTAGAACCAGGCAAATAGGAGAAGTTTCATCACTGCAAATAACTGCTGCCAACTCCTGGTTGAGAACTGCTTTAGGAGCATTAATATCTGTGCAGGCACTTTCAGTACGAAAACTTGGAATTGCATTTGATGGGGTTTGTGTGTACATGCTCTATGATGTGCACGTTAGGACTTCAGAAGTATAAATGACTGCCACTTCTGGGAAGCCCTGCTCTGAATGGTCAGCCAGCTGAGTAGCCCAGTCAAGAGTTAAGTTAATATTATCTGGAGTTAAATTTCAATAGTACATGTTGAGAAGGTTCAGACAGCCAGAGAATAAATAGCTCCCCTGTCGGTTACAGTTGGCATGCATGGCACACAGCCTAAGATAAAGATATCTTCTACAAATAGAAGAAATGACAGAAAATAAAAATGGCCTGCAATGTGACAGCAGCATGATTTTTTTTGCATAAAAATCTTTTAAGATTAATCCACTGAGTTACCTTATTAGTTACCTACCCAAATGGAAGCCAATAATCTCATTAAAAGTAGAAAAATATTTCCTGCTAGTTCCCTTCTAATCACAACCCTCTAGCAGAGCCCACTCCTAATGATCTCACTGACTGGCCTGATTAAAACCAGGTACCAAAGACTAAATGACTACAGCTGAATATTATGGCAATCAAAGTTCAATCATAAAGCTTTTTATTCTACCATCTGTTACCATTTTTCCATCTAGCTAACATCACTCACCCCATCTGAAAAGCAACCAGATAACTTAAACCTAAGTTTCTCTTGCTGCAAGAGTATTAAGACAGCACTAAGGCCTTGGGCACATGAAGTATGTACTCTGATGTAATTTCACTTCACTGCAGGATAGAAGTGGAGCGGATATACAATACACAGCCTTAAACTACTGTAAGTCATGCAGCTCTAGGGCAGTTACCCATCTGAAGCACTTGAAGTCTCCAAACACCGGGGTAAGTTACAACAATGTACCAGTCATACGTTTGCTCCCATGGTTGATTTCAGTGCAAATGGGCTCCTTGGCCACCTTGTCACTTAACGTTGTAATTGTGACTACTGTAGACAGCTAACTTAGGAGAGGTGATTGTGGGGCTACTCCTTATACAGAGGTAAAATTCAGGGTAAATTACTCCAGAGGGTGTGGACACAGAACATGATTACTAAAATGGAGTTCTGAAAAAATAGTCAACAAATGCAGATGCAGTACTAAAGTTCATTTTCCTTTCATACATATGGATGCTTGTATCTTCTACAATTGTAGAATCCCTGTTGGTGTGTAAAAGCCAAATAACAGATCTGAAAAGCTAGTGACAAGGGTATGTTTGAGCAAAGAAACGAACCATCGGCAAGAGCCAAGGAGCAAGTGATAGAAGATGTGTCAGCTTCTGCTACTTAATATTTACACTCCAAAGTATTGCCCAAAGGTCCAAGTCAGGATCTGGGCCTCCTTGTGCTAGACACTGTGCAAACATACCCCCTACCATACAGATTCCAGTTTAGGAAGATGGGAGAGAAACAGTAATACAAGGACCTTGAAGTTAATCTGAAAGATAAACTTGTCTGTGAGTTTAATCTTTTGCTGATCCACTTTGCCCTCTGGTCCATCTTTCCACCTAGCAGTTTTTACTTGTAATTACTGCTTATTCTCCTCTGCCTTCCCACCTCAAGCTTCACTTCAGCACAGTGGTGCGCCAGTTCCAGTGACTTTGGAGAGTCTATATATATGCTCTGAATGCAGATGTCCCACTTCCCAGGAGACTGCCCTTGGGCAGGAAGGGCCCTTAACATCCATACTTAAGGGGAAAGAAATGTTTTCTGTGAAGAGATGGGCAGAAAGTTGGTTTGCCATCATTTGTCAGGGCTGGACTGAGACAAATGCCATATACAGGTACTTAGAGCTCCTACTCCTGGGCTTCTGTGAGAACTTTGAAATCTCTGCACTTGTTTTTCAAGTATTATTTTTCCTAGCCCTCATGGTTGAGGAAAAAACTTGGAAAATATAACAAATCTATAATGAAATTAGTGGCCTCTACCTCTGTGCAGATATCCAGAAACAACTCTGAGGGGTGTAAACTTCATTAGGCTCCTCTGTCAACTCTAGGTGGGCACCGTGGCTGCCACCATGTGAACTGCAGCCCATCACAGCTCTTCAGGAATGGGCTTGGAAGGTCACTCACAGATGTACAAGGAAAGACTTGGCTCCTGCTGAGACAGATTTCAGCTCTCCTGTACATAGGAAGTGATGCTCATGGGACACTGGAGTCTACCCAAACAGCAAAGATGGCAGGCCTTCCTCATTAGCCTGGCAGAAAGCCCTTGTTACCACCTCCATGAGGCAGGGTACAGCCTCAATATGCTCAGCAGAGCTGTGGTTTCAGCATATGGCTGGCATGGAGATGTAGTCAACCAGTGTGTCTGGAGGCATGTCTACAACAGTGATCTGTAAGAAGCTGAAGGGTACTTACTGGGAATGCTGCCCCGGCCAGGAGCTCCGACCCAACCAGAACGGGACCTCTGCACTGCAGTGGGAGCTCCCCGTGTGCCCCAAACCAGTCTTATCGTTGCGGCAGGTTAAAGGGATTGGGGCAAATTCGCAGCCAGGACAATATCCAGGGGCAGAGCTAGGGAGAGAAGGCAAGGAAGGAGGAACCCTCAGGAGGATGGAGGCTGGGAGCACCCAATGCTAAACTGACACCCAGGAGCTGGGTAAGCACCTGATCGGGCTCCAGGTGTGGAAGAACCCCTTTAAAGATGGTAAAGAGAAGGGCATAGAGAAGAAAGGAAAGGAAGCCAAGGAGGGCAGATGCTCTGGAGCCAGAGACACCGGTTATTTTATTTACTCAGGGACAGTGATCAAGCCCCACTGGCCGCCAAGTAACTCAGGCGCAGCCACAGCAGGAAAGAAAATTGAGTGGAGTCAAGAGACCTGGGAGGAAGGAAAAATGAAACCCAGCCTCTCCAAGGGCCCTGCAGCCTAGACCCCAAGGGGAAAAGAAGCCAGGGCTGGCTGAAGAAAGAGGGCAGGGAAAGCAGTGTCCTCTCCCAGTCGACCTTTACAATCTTGTTCGAGGGGGGTTTTTTGTTCATTAAGTGGCCGTGTGCTGCCAATCAAGCCCAGAGTGGTCCCAATCAGCTCGGAGGGAAAAGGGAGCTCCCCAGCCTGCCAGGGAATGTGGGAAAGCCAGTGCTGGGAGAAGCCTGGTAAAAAGCTCAAGAGATAAATCGGGGCCTGCTTCCCAGAGAACCAAGATCTTCCAAATGTTTTAAAAGATAAGAATGAAAAAACAGAGGAAAGAAAGGTACCTCTCCAGTCTAATCATCTAGCTGCTTTCCCTGTTCACGGCCTCACGAACCGGGGCGGGAACTGGCGGTCAGTCGCAGTGGAGGTGGGTAGTCACCACCTCCCTTTCATTAACATCTCCAATAATCAAAAGAAATATCCTTTTCAACATCAAAGTCGTGGCAGGCGGGGAGAGAGAGCAAGCGTAGGAAACCCTGACCAAAGGTTGGGAGCACCCGTGAGCGGGTCAGTGAATGTCCGTCGGATGTAAGGGCACACGCCCATACCTGGTGACTACCCGACATGATCCCCCAAAATTTTGGGCTAGTGAAACACCATCATTCATCAAAACAATGGACCACTAACCTGAATCATCAGATTGGATTTATCCAATCTGGCCACTTGAGCTTCTTCCCACCTACTTCCTGAACAGCTTCCCTTCTGTCATGGGCCTTGAGCAAATAGGGGAAAATTGAACTTTTTAAGTTCTGGAATGTCCAAGCACACAACTTGAAAAAGTGATAGACACTACCAAGTTGAAGAAGGGATAGAGACCACTTCACAGTTACCCACCTCTGCAGTGTTCAAGCAACTGTCTTTCCTCTATTTCCCACATTTCTTTTTTTAATCAGCTAGTCTGGGGTAATCTGATCGCCACACAGACTTCACCAGCTGTTCCAAAGTCACATGTAGATGATGTGACATGCCCAGCATTCCTGTGGAATCCAGTTCAGTTAACAAGACAAATCAGTCACACAGGATAAATGCAAGTTAGTTCCAAAACCACCAAGAATGAATCTGGACCCAGTGAGTGCAACGAAATCTTTACTCCCCTTTTCCTACCACGCATTCTCCTCCAGCCACACATACTTTCCTCTTTACTTCCCAAGAAATTACATGGTTGTGACAAATCCAGCTGTAGAAAGGTCTCGAGTCAAGCAATGTCAAGATCACACTTTAATAGAGAGCACACATCCCCACTGTCAGTACAACACAGGTGGTATGTCCTTAGTGCAGTGATTTTTGGGCTGAGTTCATCTCCTTACAGCCACCTGCCACAAAGTCAGAATTTGTCCAAACAGAAGTTTTGTCCTATGTAAGCATATCTTGCTCCTAACAGATTAACTAATGGTATAACCAACATTTGTACGTGTAATGAACTGTGATTTCAAAATGTAATGGTCATACTATTAATTATTTGTAGGAGGACTTAGTATTAAACGGCTCTTCAGTAAGCAATGAAAGGAGCCTACACTTCACATGAACATGTATTTTAGAGATTTAAAAAAACTGTACTTTTTATTACTTAAGAGTTTCATGTCTGATATCTGTTTTGTATAGTGGTAATATTTTTCCCCAGTTATATATTCACACCAATACAGAAGACCAATGTATTGTTTTGTAAAAGTGAAGAGAGACATTTGTACCAAGATACTACCAAGGTTTATTGAGAAGCAATCTCTTCCCATTTCTCAGCAAAGATATTTTGCTGGTAAAACAGTGCTCATCTCCTTAGTAAAGTGAGACCTTTTTGTTAAGAATATTGTGTTTCACAAAATATACAGATAAGTTTACTAGTCCACTGTGACTTACAAACTGTGCATATTACAGATATTTGTCCCAAGCTAGTGTTTAAAAAAAGAGCCATACCCTCCCCCACAAATGAGCTACAAACACCAACATGCTAATTCACAAGGGTTAACCCTCCCAGCAATTAGTGCAATGGTCATTTCACTTCTAGTGATTTTCCAAATGTGATACTGATGCACACATTTTTGTAGCATCTATAAGGGTGTGTACTAGCCATCAAGTGCCAATGCCATTTATATTCACCAGACACACAGTGGCACCTCACTTCCATTCATTCATTCCTCCTTCTTATGCGAATCACATCATTTACAGATCGCAGCCAAAAGACTGAAGTGGCTGCCAAAAACAAGTCTTTCAAATTACAGGAGGATATGTTGACTGCAGCTGTATTCACTCCACAAAATTTTTAAAAATAGGTATTTTGCTGGATTATCTGAAAACTATAATTTTTTTTAAATTTCAGAGAGAAAGAGAGAGAGCACAGCACTAATTACCCCAGGCTGAGTGCCAAGCACATGTAGTTGTACTGCTTCTAGTTTGCAGGCTAGAAAGTGAGGAGCTAGGTTGGGTATCTCTTCATGACACTGCTCACAAAGGGTAGATGTATCCTAATTTTGCTGAAGGGAGTTAGACAAGTGCTACAGAATTTTGACCACAAATAATGTTACAAGTTAGCTATAAAGCAAGGGAGAATTTTTTTCATGCCCTCAGTTGCTTCATGAAGTGCAAACATTACTTTCAACTTTATGAATTGCATCTACTTCATCTTTTACTGGAGAAATGCCATTCTCAGCATATTTTCCTGGTAGGCTTTGGGTTTCTTTGGCCCATGCAAAATGAGGTGTCACAGCTGATCTGCAGCTCTGAATAGGTAAAAGCAGATCATGGTGAAATCAATAGTGATGTTTCCCTGCGTTCAGTGGTGCCAGTATCACCTCAAGTGCACAAAAGAGGGATGGCAAGGGCAAACGATGAGTTTTGTCTTGTGCTTGAGCAGTACGAATACCGATCTATTGGAACTTCTCCAATAACTGCTTAGTTTCTCTTAGAACCAGAAGCCAATTTCTAAAGCAGAACTAAGCAGGAAAAGATTTTTAAACAAAAACATATTTCACTGTCTAGATGAAACCTGATGATCTGAAAATCCACTTTTAATATGTTAAACATTTTCATCCTGCATTTTAAATATATTACATTTTTGTAAGTAGGTTAACGTTAGCAATATGGGACCTTCTAGAGTATAGATTTTTATAAACATTTCACTTTGTTTTTAAACAAAATACTATTATTTTAAACATGTACACCAAAAAAAGGTGAGCTAGGACACCTTAACCTAGAATGGAACCCAAGAACCAAGATTTGCAAATTGGAGGGAGCGTGGAGGGGAGGGAGTAGAATGGGATTATAATCTTAATTCACAACATTAGATTATAATTTAAATGCTTTTGAAGAAAGAAGAGCCCAACATGCAGAGGCAAAAAGAAACTTCAGGAAGAACCCCACACCACTTTCAGGTTTGTTTGATATGAACTGCAGATGTGATAAGTATGGAAAGGACTCGCACAAGAATTGGGCTCTACTGCTAAACTTGCAGATGTTCAGCGAGCTGATGCCTCACTAGGGACATTCTATTGTGTTGCGAGACAAACAGATGCCTACTAATGCACAACAACATGCTTGGAAAATAGACTTGTATGTATTTCCATACAAGGCTGAATCTACAGCAGGGCAGTTCCAATTAGAACAAAATAGAAGCAAAAGAATCCTGACAGCTTGCAGTCGTAACTATTAACCCTGTCTCTGAGAGTCAGTAAGCAGATTGCCTGTTTTAGGCTCGCTCTTTGCTCCACTGTTGCTGGTAACCCTGTCAGCACGTAGTGGAGGTAAAGGGGAAATCACATCAACAGCTATGCCAGTGAACTCCTCAGTGTGCACGGGAACCCTACAAACTAAGAAACATTATATGCAAAATGATGCATTTTTTCCGATATAAGCCTTTTACCTTAACCTCCACAGAAAAAGGAGGGACACATGCATTTTCAGCTCTCCCTACAATTACTTCCTCCAGTGGGTCCCATTCATTGTATGAGCAAACAGGGCAGTCCTTCAGAACAGGATCGGTGGCCTTATTGTCATCAGCAGCACAGGAAGCCTCGGAGGCTGTGGCTGCCTGGGTGCTCTGGAAAGTTCGCTGCACCCATCCGGTAAGTGATCTTCCAAGCTTGAAAAGGGAAAAAAAGAAAAAGAAGAAAGTTAGGTGTTTCACGCAACTAAACAAATACGAGAGGAGATATTAAGCATCCCTGGGTCTTTTGACTGCAGTGTATGTTGCCTGGAAGGCTTTTCTTTAGAGCACAACACTCTTTATTGTAGGTATTCCACTGAAATGTTAATATTTCACCTTTAAAGAAGCACAGCTGTGATGGACAATGAACTTAGGCCTTGGAGAGACCTCCCAGGTCTCCAAGTTCTGTCCTTTGCTATTTCTGACAACCCTGTCATAATCTACCAGGCCATCTTAAATCCATGCAGGATTCCCCCCTCCCCTGCACCTTCTCTTTATGGACAGCAGGTCCATGAATTTTACAGATAGCATCAATGTGGCCACTAAACAGGCAAACATAATTTGGCTCTGTTTTAGGTCCATCAATTGAGGCGCAGAAGAGCTGGGTGGAGGAAACGCATCTTTGCAGCTCTCGCTTTCATGGCTGCCCGTTAGGGTGCCACTGACACTTGACAAGGTGCTAGTCTGGACAGGAGGAACAACCGCAAAGAGAGACTACAAGTCCAACCAGACACCCTCCGTGGGCAGGCCGGCTGGATGAGGGCACAAGGCGCTGCCCCGCAGGCCACGACGCCAGCCCCGGGTTTCTGAATCCAGGGGTCCCCTCCTAGCGCTGGCCACCTGCACCGCATCTCTCGGCAGCGCCCGGGCACCCTGGCATGCCAGCTGGCACCAGAAGGGACCGGCTGTCGAGAGGGAAGGGAGGCAGTGGCACTCAGGGGTGCGATCATCGGACAGCTGCCCCCGGGCTGGGATGGATGCAGCCCCAGGCAAGGCAGGGCCTCTCCTGTCAGTGCCAGACCCCGCGCCGCCCGGCCCGCTACGCACCCGCGACCCGATGTAGTGCACCGCCTCGGCTCCGCGGCTGCCCCCGCGCAGGCACCGCACGCGCAGCATCGCTCC